CAATTTAGAGCAAAAGTATATTCAGAAAGTATATCTATCATTCCCTGACATGTTTCAGTTGGAGGAGGTAAATGAAAAAAGTGAAAATCTGGGCTGTCATTAAGTTTTGTGTCATCTGTTGCCTTGGTCTTTAAACGAGCAACAAACTGATCACTTTGTGGGTGAATTGTATCAACGAGCACTCTCATGTGTAACATTACGGGCTATACACGTAGGTTTTGAAAGGTTATGGCCCTTAATGACAGCCCTGAAAATGATTGCTTTGTCATCAACATAACGGAATAACCTACATGTCGTAAGCAATTACTCAAGGTTATCTCTGTTTACATGCTCACTTCTCTCTCTCCACTCAAGAGGTGCCTGGGATTTTAATGCACTCCCTTTCCCCAACCCCTCTCCCCCAAAATTTCTGCTGATATCCACGTACAGTAAACAGTATCTCAAGAGAACCACGTCTGGCACCAACTGGTCGCTAATTGGAAACAAAAATTCAAAAGCAAACAATAACCAGTTGGGGAAGACATGGTTCTCGCCCTGAGAATGTGTAATGTGCATGAAGAGCTACAGTGTACATGATTGTATATCATCAGCTAATGATCAATTGGAGGACATCTGTCAAAAACTGCATACACAAACAAAATTCAATCTACTGTACTGAATTTAGTATTCAAATCAAAAAAAGAATAGTTGAAGTAATATTAAGTTATCACAGGGTCAATCAAGGGACCTGGCACAACTTTTGGAAACTCAAGCAGAATGAGAGTTAACAAAAGTAATGAAGTTGAACTAATATGGTTCTAGTAAGGCCATTTAAAATTGATTGTAAATAACTAAGACAAAATAAAACTATATCTATCAAGTAATTTAAAGGAGCACTGATCAGTCCATCGGTAGCTGTTCTCAACGGCACTTGATCATTATCAGGGTTGACATTAAGTTTTGAGACACCTGTAGCCTTGTTCTCCCCACCCATAGCAAAATTGTTACTTTGTGGGTGACTTCTAGATTGTATAAACAGGCAATTTCACCTATAGCATCAGGGGGAAATTCAGCATACATAACCCTAATGTTCAGTTGTTACAGGTTACTGCCCTTAACGGCAGCCCTGATTATGTACGTAGCCGTATCATTGATGTATCATCAAATTAACAAATTGACATCAGTTTTTTATGCGTCTGTCCTCTTATTGATGATAAATTGCATCATAACATTGTCAAAGTGGCTGTGGAACCACGAGCCACATGCAAGTGGTTCTGCAGTAAACTTTGACAATGTTATGATGAAATTTATCATCAATAAGAGGACAGACGCATAAAAAACTGANTCAAGAAGTTCATTCATGCAAGCGACTTGTCAACGGTCGTGTTTTGTGAACGGCGGGAAGTAATCTGATTGGCTTCGCTTCAATAATCTCGTTTTCCATTGGTCAGCTAGAAATTCAAATTTTCTCTTTTATGTTCCCAATCTCCTCGCGGACAAACGTTCTCACGTAAATTTGCATAAGCTATGGCAGGTTCGCTGAGGAATTAAAATTTCCTAGTCTTTTCTGTCAAAAAAACTAAAAGAAATATGGGCATATGCAGCCGCATACAGACTACTGCACTTGCAGTTCTCATTATTCCAAGAGGCCATTTTTTTGTTACGAACCCACAGGCTTCCCAAGCTCAAAATTCGACTCTGCTACGTGGTGTATGGGACAGCTTGTGTATATAGAGAGTTGCATGGAAAAGTCACAGATCGTAAAAAAATTGTGTGAATAATTATTCAACTTGAAATAAAGTTTTCCTACCTCAAACGTGTCGCGTACTTGTCTCTTGTGCCGATTTTGAAGCCATTCTGACGCCGTTTAGTGAAGCTATTCGAAATCGTTGTCTCTCCTTCTAAACTGAGAAGGGAAAGGCAAAGTTCGTTCTTCACGAGTCTTTCGACCGCCGAAGCACACGTATGTGGAGTGAAATTTATTGGGCTTTATGGAACTGTTGATTTTATTGCGATTCGAGACCTTCCCTTTTGAGAAGAGAGCGATTTGTGGAGTGACGTCTGGCCAGCGATCGATAGAGTGGTCTGCCTTTCCCTTCTTTTAGAAGGAAAGACGATGATTTCGAATAACTTCAATAAACGTCGTCAGAATGGCTTCAAAATCGGCACAAGAGACAAGTACGCGGCAAATTTGACGTAGGAAAACTTTAGTTCGAACTACATAGTTATTTACACAATTTTTTTACGATCGGTGACTTTCCCATACAATTCTCTAAAAACATAAACCGTTCCATACCCACGTATACAGAGTCGCATTTTGAGTTTGGGAAACCTGTGGCGAACCGAATTTTTTTTCTCTCTCTTAGCGCTTGGTCGGCCACAAATCAAGGGGAAAAAGTTCCGATCCGTAACTTGCAGTGCGGTCCTCCTGGCGCGGACTGATAAAACGAGGCTAGTAAGATATAATATGTGTCTGAGAGGTTAGGGAGGTTCCTATCAAACGTCAAGAACAAAACGAGTCAATTCGAAATTGTTGTTGCTTGAGCTCGTTATTATAACATATACATGTTCCTTACACTTTTTGATTGCCGTGAACGTAAAGAAAACTTGGTGTTAAATTGCAAGACCTTTTAGGGAGAAAAAAAGCTTCACATTTTAGCGGACCGTTTTTAGCTCCTATTAACCGAGCAGGAGGTCTATATGGGAGAATCTTGACCGAGGTCGTGACTTGACCGAGGTCAAGATTCTCCCATACTGACCGGCTAAGCTCGGTTAATAAGATGTTTATTATATGGCAAACAAGAACAATTTAATTCATTTAGATGTAACCGGCTTGTACTGACTGACATTTTGCTCGCGAGCGGCGATGAGGCGAACTTAATCCTGCCAAAGTTTGCTCTTTACTTTTATCTCATCAGGCTTTGTGGCTCTACCATAGATAAACATTGTTAGAAGAAAATAGTGAATATTTTTGCATTTTACTTTGCAACTTTCTCACCCCAAAATGTAACCGGTCTAGATGCCGATCTAGATGGGAAAATCTAGACCGCTTTCAATACCGATTTCAGCCAATCAAATTCGTGAATTCGCTAGTTCCCAGTCCTTGTGAGACACAGCCTTATAATAAGATGGAATGCAGCCCGTTAAAGTAAATTGACCAATCAAAGCGCGCGCAGTAACTGAACAAAACTTAATCAAACTCCGTTCAAACATGTGTTTAAATCTAGGGCCAATAAAATATGACAAAACAGGTTGATAAACAACCGGTTAAAGAGCTCTAACTTATTCTTGCTTTCTCGCACGTAATACATGGCCTCACATGAGCGCGCGCTTAAATAGACGGCATGTGCATGCGCAATACAATTCCCATCCAAGGTTGTAAAAGCCCGTAAAAACCAGTCTTTGATCGAGGATTGCTCGAAAACCTACCGTACAACCTATGATAAAATTTTCACAGTTGATTTGTAGGGATGAATCGCGTTTAGATCCATAATTTTTAAAAAAATCGTTAAGACAGATTTTGAGCTATTTTTGATTTCACATCAGTTTCTTAGTTTGCTAAAAATCTGCTCTACAGATTTTTGTTTTACTTTGCATGAATGTTAAATCTGAGCCAATTTCTAAATCCTGAAATTTTGAGGTGGGTTCATACGGGTAGATTTTGAGAAAAACGTGATTTAACCTGCTAGTGCCCAGTCTCGGTACTCGGTCGTTCATTTTGGCCAATTTGCTGAGAAACGGTCGGACGAGTGAAGAATGTCCGTTGGCAAAATAAATTATCATCGAAGAATACAAACAAAAGCAGCTACGATGCGGCCAAAACCGTTACGTCCAAAACGTACATCAGATTTCCTTTTNATATGTGTCTGAGAGGTTAGGGAGGTTCCTAACGAACGTCAAACGCAAACCGAGTCAATTCGAAATTGTTGTTGCTTGAGCTCGTTATTATAACATATACATATTCCTTACACTTTTTGATTGTCGTGAACGTAAAGAAAACTTGGTGATAAATTGCAAGACATTTTGGGGACAAAAAAGCTTCAAATTTTAGCGGACCGTATGATGGAATACAGCCCGTTAAAGTAAATTGATCAATTAAAGCGCGCGCAGTAACTGAACAAAACTTAATCAAATTCCGTTCAAACATGTGTTTAAGTCTAGGGCCAATAAAATATGACAAAACAGGTCGATAAACAACCGGTTAAAGAACTCTACTTTAATCTTGCTTTCTCGCTCGCAATACATGGCCTCACATGAGCGCCCGCTTAAATAGAGGGCATGCGCAATACAATTCCCGTCCAAGGTTGTGAAAGCCCGTAAAAGCCAGTCTTTGATCGAGGATTGCTCGAAAACCTACCATACAACCTATGATGAAATTTTCACAGTTGATTTGTAGGGATGAATCGCGTTTAGAGCCATAATTTAAAAAAAAAAATCGTTAAGACAGATTTTGGGCTATTTTTGATTTCAAATTTTCTTAGTTTGCGAAAAATCTGCCTTACAGATTTTTTGTCTTACTTTGCATGAATGTTAAATCAGAGCCAATTTCTAAACCAATTTCTGAAATTTTGAGGTGGGGTCATACGGGTAGATTTTGAGAAAAACGTGATTTGACCTTCTATATACGAGTGCCCAGTCTCTCCTTAGGTACTCGGTCGTTCATTTTGGCCAATTTCCTGAGAAACGGTCAGACGAGTGAAGAATGTTCGTTTGCAAATGAATTATCATCGATGAATACAAACAAAAGCAGCTACGATGCGGCCAAAACCGTTACGTCCAAAACGTACATCAGATTTCCTTTTGGCTTAATTATACCAGCTGATCATCAGTTGTAAGAAACAGCTAACAGACCATCATCAGTTACATTTCAACGTGAAATTATTCATGTATTACGGGCTGATTACCGGTCATTATTTGACACAAAAGCTCAACGCCCGTTTCCTTGGACATCCTTCAAGACAGTTTGATCAGTTTGCCGTTTTAATCATGCCTACTCTTAATTAGTTTCAGGGTGCTAGCCTTACACATCGTTTAACCATGGTACTGCTCTGTGAACTTGAGCGGGACTCTCTATCTTCAAATGGACTACTGTGGACTACTGTAGCTCGTACCTGGTGACATATTTTGAAAACAGTAAGTAACAGAATTATTATATTGTTGTACTGACAACGGGATTAAAGCAACTGAGCTAGCAGTGACAATATTTATGTTATATTATTCAGTCACCATTAAAAGTTGTGAAAACCGTTCATTGGGGTTTAGAATGAAGTAAACGAAAAGTAATTCAGTGATTTTAATAAATAATGTGTATTTATATTTAAGACTTCGATGTGCATGTGGGTGAAAATGAGACCCGTTGACAATTTGATCAAATTTTTTTTTTTTTTTTTTTTTTTGATAAAATATAGTAATTCACTTTCTTTATGAAGGCTAGGACTCCGTTATATGTATTACTCCCAATTTGTCTGACAAGTCGGACAACCAATCGTCTATTGACAACTAAAAAGGAAAAACCAACTGATCCTCCCTTTTCTCCAATAGGCCTTTTCACGGTTAATTTTTCTCATTTGCATTACAATGTAATCCAACGTGGATGCGAGGCAATTTCGGACTAAAACTATAAGATAGCCCGAAGTTGCCTCACAGATTTTATTGTAATGCAAATGGGCAAAGGTAACCGTGAAAAGGGCCATTGTCCTTCTTTGGTTGGAGCGCGGTGCCTGTGGCACTCGAAAAATCGGATGCAACCTACATGTAAACATCGAGCGCCGCACTCCTTGTTTTCCGCTCTTCGCCGACGAAACGCAACGGCGCCTGGGAACGAGAGAGCAACCGATCGCAGTCAGTGCTAATCTCGTACAATCCCATACACCCGAATCACACTCTGGTAAAGAGAGTAGTCGTACTTTTTCTGAACCTCAGTGGAGTCTTTTGGTCATGTTGTAGGCAAAATAGATTTTACATCTTTTATCCGTTTGTGATGTTTGGTTACAAGAGACACAAAAGTTTTCCGTTTTTACAAGGCAACAATTTAGTAAAAAGAAATATAGCTGTTTCATACAAAATCCAAGGAAAGAATCGCCCCTTTCCAGACCACTTTTTTACACTCGTTCATTTCGTACCCTCTTGACTCTCCCCGAGCTAGTTAGAAAAAAATGTTAAATTCTTTTAGCGCTATTAGATTGTACAGAAATATTTTGCGCGTGGGAACTTGCATTCTAAAAGCCTGGCTAAATGGAGGCGCAGGTGGTTGAAAGTAGTGGAAATTTGGACATGCGTACTGCATATTTGCGTTCGGCGTCCAAATGGACCAGAAAGGTGATAAGTGCAGTGCGTAGGTTGCGAAGAAAAGTCAACGAACTACGTTCCAGGTGCGTCGACTTGCGCTGGGTGGTCTAACGGTGAACAACTTGGGTGTAAATGTGATCCCGACCAAAGTGATCGCAAGTTATCGCAAGTCGACTTAAGTGTACGCAAGTCCGATCCTGGCCAAACGGAGTGGCAAGTATACATAACTTGAAGGCTTGCTCCTTCGTTTTCTTCTTTATGACTCCGTTTCGTCAGACGAAAAGGGAACAAGAAGTTATTGTGCGTTCAATGGCATGAAATATCCTCGTTGGCTATTTCAGTTCTGTTCCCTTCAATGTGCCCTTAGACTGGTTTGTGGGTTAAAAAGTTTCATCATTTCAGAGATCCTTCCAACGACCATCCGCTGACCAAGGAGCTGGACGATTCCTGGCTCGATATTGAAGATTGTGCCCTTAGTGTCAGCTCGCGCATGCGCGAGAAACACTCAGAGCCAATTGTGACATGTTTTTATGTTGGAAATATTTGTCATAGTTATGATAATTAACAATTATTCACCAATGTTCACTGAGCCTGAGGCGAATAATCGTTTTAGTATAATTTTCAGAGGTGAATATCAAGGACTACAAAATAACAGACTAAAACATAAAACACAGACGCAATACTCGTATGCAGCCGTATTTTTAATAAAAAGCTTACATGTACATCGATTGTCAATCAGTTTACTCATCGAGTTCGGCAGTAAAACAAAAGAGCGATAGTTTGAAAGAAAATAAATTTCGGTCGATCGATCTGTTGGCGATCAACGTAACCACTGCGTTTGCGATTCTTAAATGCCTTGAATACGAATTCTTGAAAAGATATTTGGTCTAATGGCGACAGCAGTCATTTTGAAAATTCTCCATTCTTTCAAGTGAATTGTGCTTCGTATTATCATTATGTTTTGTTTCATTTAACAAATGGAAATTAATCTTATGATAGACACCTGCCGGGCAGACCGTAATACAAGAGAGTTAGACTACCAGCTGCCAGACGACTGATTCTGTGGACTAGTTATACAAAGTAACTTCTTGTGGTTAATGACAGCCGTTATTTTGGGTCTCACCAGAGGAAACACTCATTTTGTGTTGAAGGTATGGCAAAACGTTTTATATTCTTTAATCGTCACTTGAGTATAATTTAAATTTTATGAGTCTGTTTTTGGCTTTTTATTTATTGCAGTACTTTCAGTAAAGAAAGGGACAAAATATCTGCGCGTTTCTCTCAGGCCTTCAAATTGCTTACTTTCAATCTCGTAGTTAATGACTTCGTTTTGTTTGTTGGACGATTTTTTTTCCTCGGCGAGGAGAGGTTTCAAGTTCGCCTTGCTTGTGATGCCAGCGTCATTATAAAAATATTAAATCCAACACTCGCGAACAAGTCGTCACTTGCGCCGTTGCAATTCGCTTTGACTAATCTACATCAATTAACATGATTCGTGAGGAAAATAGTTCATCCTAATGTTTGGCCTTGAAAACAAAACAAACCAAACTGAACTTCCAAAGGCTCTATAATATTTTAAAGCACGTCGTGACTGAGCTCTTGTTTTTCTATGAGGTTGAGCTGTATTTTTTAATGGAAAATTGTTGTGATTAAGGAACTAACTAGAAAGGAAAAGAAATGTTAAGTATTTCAGTATCGGGCGAAAAAATCAACCATGCAAAGAAAAAAATTATTTCCAGTTTGGTAAATTGTAATTTTGCAGCTAGCCTTAACTTTGAGGCTGGATCACAGACAATAGAACTGTGGAAACATTTATTGAAAATTTTTATAAAAATTAACGCGCCGCAGTACCTGGTGAGCAAATATCATAGTATTTTTGAGTTTGCCTTAAGCCAGTTTGCAGCTGCGTCGCATTTCTCATTTTACACTGTCATGCACTAATGTGGTCTTCAAAGCACTCGTAATGACTGCAAGGTAAACATCTTAATTTGTTAATGTACGTTACTTGTTCGGTTCATGTGGGAGGGAAGTCTTGCTGTTAGTGAACCAAATCCCCTATTATGGTGCGTAATGCCGAGTTAGGAATTTTTTTTCACCTGCAATTCATCCTGGGTGGCAAAGGTTTTTCTTTATTCTAGCTTTAGGCATGAGCGGACAGTTTTTGAGTGAAACATGTCAAACAGTTTTTCTCGTTCAGTATTAAAATAGCCACGAGGCATAATTTCATATTCATGAAACGAGAATCGAATTTTAGGCTGCTGTGAAACGTGATCTCGGAGCCATTACGCGAATTGGATCATTGCTTTCTAATGAAACGCAAAATGGCCGTTATATTTTCGCGAAACCTATCAGGACAAAATAAACACAATTTTTTTCTCCCCCTCCTCGCCACTGTGCCTGTGTGGCAAACCGAGATATAACCTGAATACTAGATTTATTTTATGGATTGGCTTTGTAGCCGATTTCGTTATAACGAGCGCTTTGATTGGCTAAATGTAGGGCATTATTCTCCCGTAATGCCCACGGGCCAATTACGGTCCTGCAAAAACAAAGCAAAAGCCATGTAATAAATAACTTATTAATCTCGAACGTTCGGTCTTTACGGTAAAATCTCAAGCCTCCGCTTTTATTTATTGACCTCGCTGTCGCTCGGTCAATACGGCAAGGTCTTGGTCTTGGTCCCTTCACTTCGATTCATTTGACCAGTATGGAAATTAACTGCTCTACAAGCAAGGAAATCGGTCACTGTGGCCAACCACAAAAGAATTCATTTAGTGCCGTGAACCAATCAAAATCAGAAGGAATTGTGTAGCCAACGCGAAGCGTGGGAAAATGTGTGTGAACGAGTTAACATTGGCTTTGGTTTTACCTCTCATTAGTGGGGAAACTGGCGCCAATATTTAAGTCGATCACCGAGTCAAATACTGCAAAACTAAGGGCGACACTCAAGTAAAAAGCACCACTCTGTGATAGGCGAAATTTTACAAACTGAACGACCTAGATAACTGTTTTTGTTTGTTTTATATATCTTTTATATATCTTTGGACTTTTGTAAAACAGATGGCTTTGGATTAGTGAAGAGTCAATATCCCTATTCTGAGGTTTCCACCATGGCGTTCAAAATGACCGTACTAAGGATTGAGGTATGTTGCAAATCACGTAGTAAGTAATTCAGATGTTGTTAAAATGTTACGCGTCCTTCCTGAAGGGATCCACAGAAAACTGTTCTGTGGAAGGATAAACGTTGTACCTCAAAATACGGCACCATGCATTAAAAGCGATACACGTAATGAAAAGGCGCAGAATATGGGCTGACCCATATTCTGTCACGAAAAAGGAAAATGGAAAAAAATGTTGTGGGAAGGTTCTGTTGATCGACTGTTTTAGTTGCGACAACCTTCGTCGAAAAACATTTAACAATCATCAGCTAAAAAATCAGCTAAAACGGTTTCTCTCAGTAGAACCCAACAGTTATGAGCCGTTTCAAATGAAACCGGCTCAAAAAAAAATTTCTTTCATACTGGTATCGTTCCGAATTAATCGTTTGTGATCAGTGAAGTCCCTGGTTTCAACAGAATAGGACTTGCATGTAGCTTACTAAATTACCGTTAACTGCCGCTTAAAAGCCTCTCCACTTATAAGGCCCCCCGGTTATAAGTCCATCTACCTGTAAACCAAAAACTACATCCGGTTGAAAGCCCCCCCCGGATATAAGCCCCCCTCCAGCTTTCCTTGTGTTGAATTTATTTTATTATGATATTTATAACGCTTAATTAAAAACCAGTAAATGAAAAACCTATTTTGATCAACAAAGCGATAGCTCGTTTTGAAACTATATTTTTGTTCCGGGTATAAGCCCCCTCGGGTATAAGCCCCTTCGGTTATGAACCCATCTAAAAGCCCTCACGAAGTTGTATAAGCCCAGGCCTTATATGCAGCAGTTTAGAGTACACTGAAATACCTTCAAGCTAGTGAGCAGGATAAAGAATGTTTTAGTATTTATGATCACCTTTTTGTCCTTACTCAGATTGCTGTGCTCCTATTTCTGGCATCACACGACAAGCTAGGTCCTCTCAGAGGTGTTTTGTCAGGTAAATGTTCATACATACGCCGCGAGACTTTTCCATTCCAAAGCAAGGCCAACATGTGGAATTGTTTCGGGCTTGACCTTGCACTATAAATTCATGGAGTAACTCTTGCAGGAAAAAGTTACATTTTCATGGATCTAACTATTCGCAAAGGTTAAGACTCGCTTGCGCAATAGGCCATTTCCGAGTTACCTTGTGCCTCTGTTACAAAATGAGTCCGCGTGGAAAATCTTTCAAATGAAAATGTTTGATTTGCATGAAAATTACCCTCTAGGTGGGACACATTTTATATGAATGGTTTAACGAAGACTCGTTTTGACACGGGAAAATCGGCAATGGCCTATTAAGAATGGATAATTAACAACCCTAGTGTACGCCTCGCAATTAAAGATCATTAGGGCTATCGGCTATCCTGTTCCAGGCTCTCGCGTCCACTGACCATTAGGTTCAAGTGGAACAGGCTAGAAAACGGCCTCATAAAATGTTAAAATGGATTAACCTCCGATGCACTTGACTCACATTCAGAGAGAATAACAATACCAAGTTTTCCGATGCTTTTGATCCTCATAAGGTAATGGGTGAAGTAGTCAAAATGCTTATGCATGATTGTCGCATGAATGTTATCCCCGGAGGGGGAGTTGGCGGAGGACCCCATATGAAAAGGTCGAGGATGCTCGTCGTCCCGCTTAGGGGTGTAAATCAAGGTTTTTGGTCTCACTTACGACGAAACGCCATTATTTTTAGCTGTCAAAGTATCTCTTAGGATTCACTCGAAGAAATAACAATAAAAAAAACCGCTCTAATTTCCGTTTAATTTCTAGGATCGATTTCGAGCTCGGTCTAATACCGCGGGCTCTTGTCCCGAACAGCGGCTGGTAATCTAGCCTATTCCATTATAAATGGCATCTTTTTGGGCCCAGATTTCACCCAGATTGGTCTCCTTTGGGGGTTTCAGTCAAATTTTCCGACGAGCATCCCAGATGTATTTACCATGTTTTTAAATAAAGATGATGATGATGATGATGATGATGATGATGATGATGATGATGATGACCTTTTTATGAGGGGTTCCCCCGGAGTTTGTGCTTTCGTTGGTGCAATACGTGACGATAGCTCTCTTTAACGCGGTAGAAATCCCAACTACCTTTCATGTATATGATGTGCAGTTCTCCTTCACGTTGTTTCATAGGCAATGATCATGACATTTGGTCATTTGACAATTTAAACAAAGACATGGATGCCAAAGGGAATGCAAACAACACGGAGTCGCCGGTGGGAAAAGGTCTCTACCTTGATGGAACAGATGATACTTACGTCGAGCTGAAAGAACACGAGAAAAAATGTTTAGAACATCCATCAGACTGTGACATGACCATCGGGTTTTTTCTCAAGTTTTCGCCCCCGTCTGGCCTGCAGATCTATTTCGGGAACAAAGATGCCGACGGAGAACTGTACGAAGGCATAAATATCTACCATGATGGACGATTTCGTGTGGAGGTGTACGGTAAAAACGAGTACTGTTCTCGAGTCATTTTTCCACCCCAGAAGGTCTGGTTTTATCTCGGGCTCGTATGGGAGAAAAATGGAAATTTAGCTGTGTACCAAGACAGATGGTATAGTCAGTCGTCTTGGGAACACAACCAGTGCGGCAAAAGTCCGAGTGGGTTGAAGACGCGAGGAAACTACTATTTAGGGAGAGACACATTCCCTGTTGCGTTCTACAAGGATTTGAACATCTGGTATTCCAAGCAGTCTCGAAATGTTCTTGACGAGAGGTGGGATGCAGCATTTGGTAAGTGTGGTAGTTAGCGTCAATATAGCCAGTGAACAGACTCCGGCTGGAGGGGTCTTACCGCGGCCGGAAAGGCGGAGAAGGAACTGGCAGAGAGTGAAGCGGCCGAGGTGGAATGGGGTGGGGTTGGGGCGTCGCCCCCGC